GTCCAGTCTTTCTTCTTTTTTGGGGGGGGATGGCAAGGCAATTGGGGTTAAGTGACTTGCCCAGAGTCACACAGCTAGTGTTATATGTCTGAGGCTGGATTTGAACTCAGGTCCTCCTGACTTCAGGGCTGGTGCTGTATCCATTGTGCCCAGTCTTTCAACCTGTTCCAAATCCATCAGACCTCTCCATTTTGCCCCGAAGACTAATATAAGAAATGACCAGTTGCTTTGATAAATTTTGGGTATGCACTGTCTGTGGTATTCTCCCAATCCACTAGTCTATTAATTCTGACAAGTAAGAAATCAAAGTAGTCCGTCATGACCTAGCCTTGATGAAGCAATATTGGCTATTCATGATTATTACTTCCCTTTCTAGATGATCAGAAATGCTCCATTTAATTCTACATCCTAAACTTTTTTCAAAGAATTATTTTATCATTATCTTACAGTTGAGATTTCATTTTAAAAAATCTATTAAAATTGTTCTCCCTAAACTTATCAATGACCTCATAACTACCAAGATCAAAGACTTTTTTTTCAAAATCAGTCCTCCTTCTTGACTTGTTCACTATTTCTGACATTGTCAACATTTCCTTCCTATTCGAAGCTCTCTCTCTCTCTCTCTCTCTCTCTCTCTCTCTCTCTCTCTCTCTCTTTCTCTCTCTCTCTCTCTCTGTGTCTCCTTTGACCTCAGAGATACCAGAATCTCTTCATTTTCCCCTTCCCACGTTTCCTCTGTTGACTCTTCTTGCTCTTCAGGATCCCTTCATATGTTTTCTCTTTGGCCTCTTCTCTTCTACTGGCTCTCCTCGACACTCATCCCCTCATCTTGGACCATCACTTCCATCTATATTATTAGGCTAAATCCTTTCCTGGTAGAATTACCTTTCATCTACTTTCTCTCTATATATTTTGTACATACCTATTTATTTATAACTTGTTTCCTCCATTAAAATGTAAGATCCTTGGGGGCTTTTGTCTTTCTTGGAATTCCTAGTGCTCAACATGTCTCCCAAATATAAATGTCCTTTTATGCCTCAACTTCTGAAATCCAGACCCACTTCTCCAAATGTCTTATAAGACTATCTCACCAACCAAACACTTCATCTCCTTGCCAAGAAAAGAGACATGGCAGCCAAGCCAAGAGTACCAATGGTTTAGGGCATGAGCTTAATTTGCAAAAATCTTCTGAAGGATAATATTGGGAAATGATGAGAAATGTTGCCTTATAAAGTGGCAAAAAGGTGGGTGGGGGATTTGTTTATAGAAATCTTGATATAAATCCCATTTAACGCAGATTGAAATAAGAATATTTAAAGATCAAGTTGCAAAGAGAGCTAAAAATACAAAAGAAATAGGATAGTTCTAGCAACATTATGTAAAATAAGGATATATTCATCAGGGAAGTGAGCTGCTACATTTGGATCCAACATCTTGGCCTTCGTGTACTGCTGCATGAGTGAAAATGAGAATAAAGAAGCAAAAGTAAGGGGAGAAATTAGACCAAGCCAAGGATACAAAGAGGAAAGCTGTGCTGACAAAATTTTAAGGACCTTGACAGAATAATTCTTGAAGTATCAAAAAGAGGAGAGGAAAGTGAATAATTCAAAAAATTCATGAAAAGAAATACTAGTGAAAAAAGGAAAGTAAAGAGACATCAGAGATAATTTTGGTGATCAGCTATAGGTCCATATACTTATTTTCTATCACTATAAATTCTTTATGAGAATTACATACAAACTAAAGGTTTTGAAGGGAGGCCATGTGGTTGCAATGGAAAGAATGCTGGACCTTGGTTTGGGACACCAACTACTTACTTCCTGCATGACCTTAGGCAAATGACTGTACTCCTCTATGCCTCAGTTTCCTCATCTGTGAAATGAAAAGATTGGGCTAGCTGCCCTCTGAGGTTCCTGCCAGCTCTAGATCAATGATTCTTGATGAAAACATGGGAATGCTACTGGGTAGCTCAGTGGATACAGCATTGGACTTGGGGGGTCAGGAACACATGAGTTCAAATGTGACTTCACACAAGTCATTTAATCTCTGCTTCAGTTTCCTCATCTATGAAATGGGACTAATAGTGGCACCTACCTCTCCAGGGTTGTTATATGAGGATAGACCGAGATATTTGTAAAACATTTTGCTAATTTTAAATTGTTATCTTAACACTAGCTATTATTATTAAAATAAAGCAGGTTTTCTACTACAGACCACATTTTCACAATCACACAATGAAAGGGAACAGAAAACAAGAGATTGCACTGTATTTACTGTGTACTGTTTCTTTTTAAAGTAAAGCCCTAAAGGCCCTTCTCCAACAAGGTCTCCCCCATGCATGTTTCCATCATATAAAATTTCTTCAATCAAGGCAACAATGGAGATAACTTTGTTTGATGATCATGTGCTTATCGATATTTAGGGAAATATGTAGTCATCAAAGGGTTTGCAGCTGTCCTGTAGAATGTGCAATGCAAAATCCAAATGGAAAGTATATTTCCAATAAAAGATAAAGTCCTCTGGAAGCTCTGGGATACAAGCGAAATTATACTAATAGCATCGAACCCCAGAATATTAAATGAGATCTGTAACTATTTGAGAGAATTTGTCTAACTATTCCAAAGAGTCTCCCATATATATAGGGAAAACCAAGTGGATGGAAAATGCCAGTTTCCAAGAATATGATCTGTGATTCAATCAAGAGCCTACTGAGCTATTTCATCAATACATACAGCTTGGGCAGACTCTGTCAATCAAGAGTGATCTAGGTCTAGAAATTATTAGGAGGATAAGAATAGGCTGAATTGCATTTAGGAAATTACTTTGCTTTTTCAAGGATCCCAAGCTTAGCCCTGAAGCAAAAACTTACTTTTTTAATGTCAGTCTTCCAGTGATGTCATACGTCACATGTCTCTAAATCACAAAATATCACAATATTTGAAGAATCAGTCAGTTAGTCATTAAGTCTTTATTAAGCACCTACTATGTGCCAGGCACTGTGGTTAAGTACTGGGAATACAAAGAAAGGCAAAAGACAACCTCTGCCCTCAAGGAGCTTGCGGTCTAATGGAGAAAACAACGTGCAAACAACTATGTACAATTGAGCTAAATATGGAACAAATTATTGTTGCTGTTCATCCTTCATTCTTGAAGAGGATCAATGACATCTCAGGGTGATGTCTTGACTTGTGAGTGAATTTTGCATTTAAGTGAGGTGGAGCTACACAAAGTCATCAGCCTCACTCCATTTTTCAGAGTCACTGGAGTCCAGAGGACAGGCGATGGCCCAGAGGGACAAATTGGAGATGATTAATAGAGGAAAGGCACTAGAACAAAAGGAGGTCAGGAAAGGATTCTCCTAGAAGATTGCATGTGACCCCAAAGGGCAGTTGTACAATGAGTATAAGCGGGCTGCACCACATTAGTAACGATAACGCAAGAAATGGCATCCAAGTTATCAACCAGGAGAAAGGAGAGAAAAATGACACGGGCATCTCCAGTAGGAGTCAGGTATACCCAGGAGGCCCCCTTAACCCCTCAAGCTCAGGGGGAGGGTGGATTTAGGGGTGGGGGTCGTCACCCTCTGGCAGATCAAGTCCTGCCTTCAAGTCTTTCTGTGTAGAATGATACTGAGGTAGGATTTGGGGAGGTGTGAGGATGGACTGGTTTGTGCAAGTGTCCTAGGTATAGAAGGAGAGAAGGATTTTCATTTCTAAATAAGAAGCCCCACATTCCTGGGAGAAATAGAAATTTGATCTGTTTTGCAAGCTTCATATATGAAAATCCTGGAAGGCGGGCAATGCAAATCCACAATCACCACTGACAAATTAATCAAATATCTGTCATTTGGGGGGCGTGGCCTCTTCCAAGATGGAAATCTTAGAGGGGAGCTATATTGTAATAACATGGGATGACGGATAGTTAGGGGGAGAAAGATTCATACTGGACTTTGGAATGCAGCTTGGAAGAAACATTTGAATGTAGGTGTGTTGGCTATCTCGGATCAGAGAGCTTCGAAGCAAAAAATGAATTTTTTTTTGAATGAACATTTTTTTCACCGGGGTGGGGTGGTGGGGAGTGAAGGAGGAGGGCTGGAAAGCTTCCAGTTTCCCCAGGTGTGATGCCTCCTGGCACCCTGGCTCACCTAGAGTGGGCACTCAACAAATGTTTGTTCACCTGCTCTTGCTTCCTAATCTGCATGGAAGACAGAGGCCAGGACTCCTCACACTGGCGCTGCCTACCAGGCTCCAGTTATCTCTTAGCTGGAGTCCGGCCAGTGGTCGTCTCTACCCATGGACATCCATGGCTTCCTTCAAGGCTCCTTGAGAGAATTTCTGCCTTTCAATCCTCAGCACCTAGCACAGTCCCTGGCATGCAGCAGGTGATGGGTGAATCACCCTTGTTGAATGATTATTTCACTCCCTAGAACATCCTACCTTATCACATTCATCTATCCATGGCTCATTCTTCCCCAACACCACCAGTAGATTGAAAGCTCTATGCAGGTAGGGACTGTTTCATTATGTCTTCATTTCCCCGGCACCAAGCACAATCATTGGCATGTAGAAGGAGCTTTTTCAATGTTTCACAAATTAAATTGACTCCATTCTTTTGCCTTTTTCTATGTTTTTGTCTTTCCTGCTTATACTTTCCCTCCATGGGGTAGTAATTAAGAATTCATATCTTAATGACTTCTGTTCTTTTTTAGATAAGGACATTGTCAAGGAGTTCTGAATGTCAGAATGTAAGTTTCCCAAGGTGACACGGACTGTGTCTTCTCTCTTACAGACTTCCTTTCCTCCCACCCTCTTCTCAGCCCAGTGACCCTCCCATAAGAAGCACTCAGCAAACACTCATGGAGTTCTAGTGAATTGATAGGCTCAAGCAGGGCCTTAATTATGCCCGATAACTGGAAAAGCCAAAGGAAAGGGGGAAAGCTGGATATTTAGTCCACCCTCCCTCCCCCACAGAGGACACAGGATAAGGCGAGATCACCTGACCTGGAATTTTGAAACAGTTGGCTGTTTGTGACGTCGCGATTCCAGACCATGTCTTGTAGTATTCATCAAAGGAAATTCCTTTAATGTTTCTGAAAAGAAAAATAAAAGTTAAATCAGATAACAATCAACTTGCAAATGTGAAATTTCATACTGGTTTAGCACACAGAATCCATCAGAAAACCTTCCTGGGGAGTGCAGAAATGTACTAAGTGGAACGTCACTTCATTATAATAACTGACCGAGGCAGTGCGACCCAGAGAATATGCAGTGGGCTTCGAGTCAGGAAGACCAGAGTTCAGGAAAAAATGAAGCAGTCTGCACCCTCAGGGAGTAATCTTCTATTGGTACAACTAAGTAACATAAAAAAACAATCATGGAAGGGAAAGCACCAGCACCCGGGTTGGGAGGGTGGGAGAGGGGGAGATAAGGATAAGTGAGGAGTTAATGGTAGCCTTTGTGCTGAGCCTTGAAGGACACAAGGCAGAGATGAGAAGGGAACATATTCCAATAGAAAGAAAAAGCTTGTGGAAAAACACTGAGGTATCAGAACAACAGGAGGTAGGTTTGGCTCCAGGGAGATACGAGGCAGGAGAATACTGAAGCCAGCCCTTCCTGGGCACCAGAGAAAGCAGCAGCTGAGCTGAGCCTTGACCAAAGAGGAGGATCCTGAAGGCTGGGGAGGAGCAGGTCATCAATAAGGAACATAGAAGACATGGGAGATGGTTTGTGTAAAGGCAGGAAATACCTTTTTGAGCTCAGAGAACAGCCAAGATGTTGTCCAGTTAGCCCAGAACACAGCACTCACGAAGGATCATAGGCCAAAGCTGGAAGGGGTCTCTGAGGTCATCTAGTCCAACCCCCTCAATTCACAAATGAGGAAACTGAGGCCCAGGGAGATTTGACTTGCCCAAGGTAAGCAGGAGAGGTGGGATTTGAACCCAGGTCTTCTGACTTCAGAGGTGGGGCCCTTTCCCATTTACCATGAGTAATACGAAGTGAGTCTGAAAACAGGTTGAAGAAATATTGTGAAAGGCCTTCAGTTCCAGCTGGGGAGGTTGTACTTTATGCTGAAGGCAATCAGGAGCCACTGACACCTCTTGAGCAGAAGAATAACGAGTGGCAGCTCATCAGGGCAAATTGGATGGAAATTAACGCAAGTCTTCCTTCCTTCAAGGACTGAAGAGCCGTCTTCAGGTACGTTCTGATGGCAGCTCCTCTGGGCCGTGCGCTGCATTCAGTGCCGGCTGAAGTGCCTTCTGACTGTCAGATGATGTGATTTTCTCATTTGTATTGAAAGGTCAGAAGGAATTTTTGTTAGCATCAAGTGTGAAACGTCTTTAATACTTCCTAAAAGTATAAAGTAATTTCTTTAAAAATGAGATTGTACAGAGACATCTTCTGTCCCATTATCATGCTCAAGTGGAGACTGAAAACTAGCCAGACTAGATTTATCCTGATTGTTCAAGTTGCCATAATGTGGGGGGCATTTCATGTGACGCCATCATGCAGGCAACTCACAAGAACTGGCCAACAAAACATTTCTGCAGTTGATGATGGGGGAGCTGAAATGGAAGCTGTATTCTGTCTCCTACATGAAAACGTTTGAGATTTGCTATCATAGATCATGCGGCCGCCAGCAAAGACCTGGAGAGGAAAGAAACTGTCAACACACTGTCTCATGAAAATAATAACTATGTGGAGAGAGAAAGAGAGAGAGAGACAGAGAGACAGAGACAGAGACAGAGAGAGACAGAGACAGAGAGAGACAGAAAGAGGCAGAGAGAGACAGAGACAGAGACAGAGACAGAGAGAGAGAGGCAGAGAGAAAGAGACAGAGAGAGACAGAGAGAAAGAGAAAGAGACAGAGAGACAGGCACACAGAGAAAGACAGAGGCAGAGAGACAGAGACAGAGGCAAAGACAGAAAGACAGAGAAAGAGAGAGAGAATGTGTGAGTGAGTGTGTGTGTGTGTGTGTGTGTGTGTGTGTTTGCCATCTTCAAGTACAATGAGCTCCATTGTCTTTTGTCTGTTTAAAAGAAACCCATGACCTTCTGCATCCCTTGGGGTCTGTCCTGTTCAATTTCAAACTATCTGGCTTCAGAGTTTCCTTCTTTTTTTCTGAACTATTAAAAGTTTCCTCTTGAAAGGTAGAACTGAAAGAATGCATAGTATACACAAAGCAATGATTTTTAGAGCTTTTTTTTCTTTAAAAAGACACTCACAAAGCTATTTCTGAAAGTGATCCGTGGAAATAATGAAAGCTGCTCAGTCTAATTCTTTTTCTCTAAATGGGCTGTGTACACATCCTGTAGGAACACTGGGAATATAAAGAAATACAAGTTGATTTGTTATTTCCACCAATCATCGGTTTCTATTCCTAGCACAGTGCTATCCACTCTGAGAGTTTTAAATACTAGCATCTATAGAGCACTTTTAGGTTTGCAAAGTGCTTTTACATGTTATCTCATTTGATCCTCAAAACAACCACGGGAGGTAGGTGCTGTCATTATCTCCACTTTGCCAATGAGGAAATTGAGGCTGAGAGAGGGCAAGTTACTTGGCCAGGCTCACACTGGGAGTTTATGACTAAGGCAGGGTTTGAGTTCAGGGCTTCCTGATTCCAGTCCTGCACTTGATGTACTATGATGTGGAAAAAGAAGCAAGCATAAGCGAGTTTTTGATGGACAAGATGAGGAGGTGTGGATGAACTGTAATCTGGGAGGAATGTCTACATCCATGCACTGAAGTAACATTTTCATCATCATCATCACCTTCATCTTCATTATTGTTACAAAATGGGATTGGACCATGTGATGGAGGGGGGAGGGCGGGGAGGAGAGAATCAAGCCAATTTGGAGATGACCGTACTGGCGTGATGGGTCTCTGACGAGAAGGCACATAGGCAGAGTGGGACCAGGAGACTTTGAAGATTCTGCACAGGAATTTAGACTCACGAGCAACATTTCCATGTTCATGATTCCTGATTTCTCCAAGTCATCTGACACTGTTGTGCACCCCTTCCTTCTTGTCCCCTTCTTCTTTGGCTTCTGAGACAACAGAACCTCCTGGTTCTCTTCTGCTTTTCTTGCCACTCTTTCTCTTGCTTCCTTCGATGACTCCCCATTCTCTTGTCAGAGGTCGATGTTCTTCGAGGTTATGCATCCTTTGTCCCTTTCTCTCCCATCACGATTCTCTGTGTTTGCAATCTCACTCCCCTTCATGGTTTCAATGATGATGAATGGAAAATAATCCTAAATCTCTATCTCCTTACTGAGCTCTAGACAAACACTTCCAACCGCCCACAGGACATCTCTTCTTTAATCCCGCAAAACCCCCAACTCAACCTTTTAGACCATAAGGCATGGAGAAAAAGCAAAAGATGTCTTGTGTCTAATCAGCACCAAAAATGGAAAGTCAAGATATGGCAGAGTCAGATTTTGTCAGGAGTCCTTTCAGATTACAGCTCAGGACAATAACTGGTTGTATTTGGCATAGATGGAAAACTGTTCAGTTCAGATTAAATACACCCAAGCAAGCAGGCTAGACAAGTGAGAAAAAAGGTGGAAAAAGCAGGAAAAGGTAGGAAAACCCACTATACTAAAAAAGCAATAAGCACCACACTGGGAAAAAAAAGCTATAGGCAATAGGAAAAGTCATGGCAAATGGGCAATTTGTTGTAGCAATTAATAGCAAAAGCTTCATAGACCTGAAGATTTTGGTTTTAGCCAACATGAAGGACCAGAAGAATGTGTCAGTGGTCTTCAGGGACCGTACTTTATGTTCCTTTCAGTGTGAAGGCATCAGACACAGAAAGACATCTTAGGGTTGTGAAAGAAATGCCAGTTTTGATTACCCATCCTCTGTTGGTGATCTTTGAAAAAATCGTGGAGAAAAAAGTTGTCAAAAGCCTAGGATGCTCAAAAATCACTCTGGTTTTCACAGGACAAAAGAGATGGATTTTCCAAGCTATAGACTGTAGGTTTGACTTCTATTCCTGGAAAAATTCTAGAACACACTATAAAGTTAATGATTTGTGAGTACTTATACAGGAAGGGAATGACCACTGGGACTCAGCATGGGCTTAAAGTTCCATCCAAACTATGCCCAAATGGTTATAAAAATGTGCATACCCTTTGACCTAGCAATAGCACTTCTAGGGCTGTATCTCAAAGAGATCATATAAATGGGAAAAGGACCCAGAGGTACAAAAATATTTATAGCAGTTCTTTCTGTGGTGGCAAAGAATGGGAAATTGAGAGGATGCCTATCAATTGGGGAATAGTTGAAGAAGTTGTGGTACATGAATGTGATGGAATACTATTGTGCTATAAGAAATGATGAGCAGATGGGCTTCAGAAAACCTGGAGAGACATGTATGGACTGATGCTGAGTGAAGTGAGCAGAACCAGGAGAATGGTGTACATAGTAACAGCCACACTGTGCGATGACTAACATTGACAGACTTAATCCTTCTCAGCACTACAAGGATCTAAGACATCTCCAAAAGTCTCATGATGGAAAATGCCATCCACATCCAGAGAAAGAGCTATGGAGTCTTAATACAGATTGAAGCATACTAAAAAAATCCCATCCAAATAATCCCATAGAACCTTTGGACAATGGTGTTAGTCTGCTAGATCAGGGCAATGGTGAGTAAATAGTGTACTGAGATTTTCGCAAGGCCATTTAGGAAGTCATCATGTTATCATGGTGGACAAAGAGGAGAGCTTTGGGGGCAATTTCGGGCTCTATCTTGGGCCTCTTCATTCTCTATTCTGTTTCTTTCTGTTGATGACCTCATTAATCCTCCTGGATTCAACCAGTGTCTCTGTAGAAATGACTTCCACATCTACAAAGCCTGTTCTCATCTTTCTCCTGAGCTTCAGTCCAACTTCTTCAACTGCCTGTTGGCCATCTCTACCTGGGGATCCCGTAGGAAGGACTTGGGGTTTCATTTGTCCAGAGAATTTCTAGGTAAAGAAACTCTCTGGACCAATGTAGATGGTGCTGAATCTACAATTTAGGAGAGGGTTTCCCAAAGCCCTGACAAATAAAGTGACTTGTCCTTAGTTACACAGCTAGTTAGTTAGGCGTTAGAGGCTGGGCTTGAACCAAGGTCTTCTGGGAGAAAGGAAGAGAGAGACACAGAGAGACAGGTAGAGAGACAGAGACAGAGAGATAGGGAGTCATCATTAATGAGCTCTAAGAATACAGCTGGTCTTCTAGCATCAAAGCCACGCTCATTCCAACTAGACTTTTTACTGACTTGGAACTTAGGGGGAGAGGGCTGACAGAAGTTCTCTTAAACAAGATTCAACATGGAGACCTGAAGGGGGTCACTCTGTAGAAATGTTTGGGCCCAATGAGTGGAACAGCAGATCTGTGATTCAATGAACAGTGGGCATTTCAACAACACTATGAGGTTCTCAAAGTTCATTACATAGTTTATTTCATTTGTCCCTCATGACCCTCTGGGGCCTACTGCAAGTAGGATTATATCTACTCTTCAAATATTTCAGACAAGGGTTTAAAGTGTCTACTGCGTCCCAGCAATTGTGCTGGACTCAGGAGATACAAAGACAAAAGATTAAAAAGTAAGTCCTGCTCTCAAGGAGCTTACATTCTATTTAGAGCACACAGAATATTTATAGATAAATAGTAACATGTGAAATGGGGGTGGTACAGGAAGAGGACAGAGGAAATTAGACATTTTAGGGTCAGTAGAGCTGATAACATTTCTGAGGAAGCTCAAGTGGAGATAGTGGCAAGAACTCTGGGTCCAGAGTTAGAAGATCTGGGTTCCAATGCTGCCTCTGTTGTTTGTTATGTGTGTGACTTAGCGCAAGTCCCTCATATCTAGAAGCTTCTTCCTCCTCATCTCCACCTCCTGGTTTCCTTCAGATCTCAACTTAAACCCCTCCTTCTCCAAGAAGCCTTACTAATGGCGCCTTCCCCCTATGGATTACTCCCAATTTGTCTCTTCTATAGTGTGCATGTAGTTGTTTGTGTGCAATCTCCCCATTAGACTGGGAGTTCCTTGAGAGCCTGTCTTTGTATCCCCAGAGCTGAGCACAAGTGCCTGGCACATAGCAAGTGTTTAAAAATGTTTGTTGACTGATTGACAGACATTAGATAATTTAAAAAGGTTTGGGGTCCCCTTTTCTAGTCTTGGGGGTGGGGAATCACCATTCATTGTAGGACAGGAGAACAGAAATCATTCTTAACAAATTAAATAATTTAATTTGTCCTTAACAGAAAATAGAAATCTGTCAATTCTTTTATGAAATAACTATAAACACTACTATTGTTTTTTGATGGGACTTGAAATTTCATCAATGTCAGGAACACTTAGCAAGGTATTTCCCTACCAACGGACATCGACAGAGGGCACCTCATCTACAGCTGAATTCTGAGAGTGTTGGCCGACACAATGAAAAGCGAGGTGTCCTGCCCAAGGTCACAGAGCCAGGGGGAGTCAGGGACAGGACTGGAACCTGCTCTTCCTGGCTTTGAGGCTGGGTCTCTAGCTACTACACCACACTTTCTTTATGAATACCATTACGTCAACAATAACAACAGAAATGATTACTTTTTAGGCAGGCTTGGCGTTTCTTCTTCTACTTGAAACAACTTGAAACTAGCATTATCTTCAGGAACAGTCTCCTCTGAAAGGAAAAAGTGGAAATTTTGGTTCAACAATTAGTGAGCTGGGGAAGATACTGAACCATTTACCATTCAAGATTATAAATGGAGGAAGAATATCTTCATGTAACCTATGTATGCATGAATCCCCATTATATTTAGGAAAAAGAGTTAAATAAAGGCCTTTGGCATCTTGGATAAACCTTCTGCGGAGGTTCAGTGGGAGATTAGGTCCAGAATGAATGACAGCAGGGTTCGTACGTTAAATTTGTGCCTAAAGAGCTGGTTTGAGTCTTACCTCTGATACATACTGACTGTGTGACCCTGGGAAAGTCCTTTTACCTCTTACTACCCCAACTCTCTAAGCCTCTAAATTGCAGAACATTTGCTGATCTTCACTGGTGGAAGGAGTTTCCTAATGGAGGGGTTCCCCACCTCTCTCCCTCCCCCAAATGAAAGGAACAAGAATCAAACAGAATGAGAATATATTGGATGGTCTATACTGGACTTCAGTGTAGACATATTTGTGAGATCTCAGATTCAATGAAGGACTGAAGCAGGGGGAGAAAAGAGGTGTAGATTTGAACTCAAGTCTTCTTGAGTTCAAGTCAGCCCTCTGTTCACTATATCGGTGATCTCCAAAGTGAGGTCTGTGGACTGATCCCAGGAAGTGCACAATCAGTCACTTGGATGGTGGGAAGAAGAAGAAGGAGAAGGAGAAGGAGAAGGAGAAGAAGGAGAAGAAGAAGAAGAGGAAGAAGAAGAAGGAGAAGAAGAAGAAGGAGAAGTAGGAGGAGAAGAAAAAAGAGAAGGAGAAGAAGGAGGAAAAGGAAGAGAAGATGAAGAAGAAGATGATGATGGTGATTAGCATTTATATGGCACTTTAAGGTTTGCCAAGTGCTTTACTTAATTCATATCCCACCATCCCAGCAATACTCAGATTTATATCTCGTCTCATATATGATCACACAGCCCCTCGTCTTGGAATGCTCCTCCACTTAGACCACAACTTTTTCTTTATTTTTTTTTAGTTTTATTTAGAATTTATGTTTTTCCCCAGTTACATGTAAAAACAATTTTTAACATTCATTTTTAAAACTTTGAGTTCCTAGACCAGTCCTTCTGTTGGGCAAGCTTGCAACCTCCCTACATTAAAGCCCAACTGTCCCTCAGGTTGGTTATAACCTGGCTTTTCCCCAGGGTCCTACAATGGGCACTGAGCGGAGACTACTGGGAAAGCCTCTGCCCTGGCCCTGTCAGCATATGCACCCATTGCCCCATATCACCTCATGCCTGTGAACGGTGCCCCTCAGAAGTTGGCTCTGTACCAGTGAGTAAGAGCCCCGAGCTTCCCTTCCTTTTTCTTTTGGGTGGGACATAGTGATCCCAGCTGAAGGAGTAGATATGGAGGAGTGGTCACCTGGAGATCAGATCTCATTCCACTATCTTTCCCTTCAAAGGTTCCCCTCTCCCAGATTTCTGTATTTCTCTCCAGAGCACCTCCATCTTTCCAGGCATCCAAGTTTGTCCCCTCAGTGTCATCCTCAGTTTCTCCCTTTCTTGCACCCCACCTGTCCAATCAGTTGCCACATCTGGATGTCTTATCTACATTCCATTCTCAATAACCCCACAGTCACCACTTTAGTTCAGGTCCTCATCCCCTCTCTCCAGGACACTTAACTGGCCTCCTTCCCTTCAGTCTGGCCCTCAGTCCAATCCAGTCTCCACACAATTGCCAAAATGATTTCTCAATGGTTCCAGCCTAACCATGCCACTTCTTGACTCAGTAAACTCAGTGATTTCCCCAGTGCTTCTAGGATCATATATTATTTCATATTTGCCCCATCCTCTTTCATTTTTGTTTTCTCTAATTCTATAATGTACTACTTATTAGTATGTAATGCATGTATTAATTGATTAATTTAATTGAATTCCACTGATGATAATGTGGTTACATAGGTTGGGTGAAAGTTAAGTCTGGTGGCCTGCTGTTGTCTCAAACCTTTGTTGATTCCACAACCTATCAATTAGAACAAGACAAAATAAGCCTTTAGTAAGTGGTGAAGGGTGGTGGGAATGGAGGCCAAATGTGGGTCATGCCCTTTTATGCCAGCTGGTGCTAGTAGGTGCTGCAGAACTTCCGATAAGGGATAGGACAATGGACGGAGGCAAAGAAGGAAGGTTTCTTGGAGGTGGGACTGGAGCTGAGCCCTGAAGACTGGGCAGGTTTTAAATAAGTAGAGAAGCTAGGCAGAGAGAGAGGTCTGGAAAATGGCACAGTGTTGGCACAAGGTGTGTTTGAGAAAGGAGGCCATGGGGCAGGAGTGTGAATCTGAGTAAGGGAAGCTCGAATCACAGAAAAGCCCAGTATCCCAGAATCTCAGGGTCGGAAGGGACCTCTGGGGCCATCCAGCTGATCCCAACACATTGTTGAAAAGGAGCTCCTATCACCTTCTACAATCTACCGGACAAAAGGTGGTCCTGCCAATGCTCCAAGAGCTCCCACGAGGAGGGAAGCCGAAAGTTCTGAAGGCAGCCCATTTCATCTGGGATACATTTTTCTTTACATCAAGCCTATGTGTCCATCTTTTGAGTAAAGTTGAATGGAAACAAAGGGTCACCGTTATGGAGAACTTTGGTGCTAGGCAGAAGTGTCTGGTCTTCATGTTCTAGGCGTGGAGAGTCAACACGTAATTTGAAGAAGAGGAAGAGGAAGGAAAGCAACTGACCAATCAGCATATACTAAGGGCCTGGGGAATGCACAGATGAAAGTGAAACAACGGTGGCCTTCAAGAAGGTGACACAAAATGTATCTCCACACAGGTAAATACAAAATAAATATGAGGGGTTTGAGGGGCATTGGAAGCCATTACCAGCAGCTACGGGGTACCACAATGGACAGAACACCAGGCCTGGAGCCAGGAAAACCTGAGTTCAAATCCAGGCTTAAGTACTTACTAACTATGTGACCCTGAGAAAGTCACTTTACCCTGTTTGCCTCACTTTCCTCATCTGTAAAAAAGAGCTGGAGAAGGAACTGGCAAACCACTCCAGTATCTTTGCCAAGAAAACCCCAAATGGGTCATGGTGAGTTGGACGTGATTGAAATGACTGAGCAGCAAGTACGTCACTAGCAGCTGTGGGGGCCCAAGAAAGATTTCCTACAGGTGGTGATGCCGGAACTGGGCCTTGAAAGAAACCAGGGTTTCTAAGAGGCAGAGAAAGTACCGGATTTAGAGGGGGTCAGAAGATCTGACTTCAAATCTGCTGCTTGGACAAGTGACCAGGCCTCTCTGGGTATCAGGTTTCTCATCTGAACAACGAATTGCTAAAACCCCTCCTAGCCTGAAAACTTCTGAACTTAAACTTAAAGCTTAAACTTAAGCTTAAACATCCACTTTGGCCAATTTAAAATTCTCTTTCTGAGCCATCGAGGGAATATTTTTATTTTTGTTCCCGCCAAAAGTAGATGACCAAAAAGGGAAAAAACCCGGAGAATATCTGGGGTCCTAAGAGATCTCAGGAGCTGTGAGCTCAGGCATTCCTGCCCCTCTCCTCTGGGTGTCTGATCGCTCCAAGGGTTTGCTAAACCTAGCTTAAGGGCTGGGAGACGAAGAGGTCCACTACCCAGCATTTCCTACACACAAAGAGAATGGTCTGTGTTCATCTTGCTATCAGGCTTTCGACAGTAGGTAATGCTATTAATTTTTATAATCTCCCTAATGCATTCATAATACCTTTCCATTCTTTTATTACGAAGGCCCCTGTCAACACTGCAATTACCATCAGAGTCTGTCCAGACAAGTCCTTGAAACTTATTGTAAAGAACCTCTTTATGTCCACAAAAGATCAAGAGAAAAATGGTGTCACCAGTTCTGCACACCATGGCTTCTCTCTGCATCTCTTTCTGCAAGCAAAGACCTTGAAGTTTTTACTAGAATCATGCCTTGAGATAATTGTGTAACATAGGAAGGTCATTAATATTTTCCCACAAAGACTGCAACATAGAAGATAGATTCTTTCTAACTGAAATCCCCCCACAACATTTTGTTACGATGGAACCTTTTTGTAAATGAGGACGTACCCAGGCAACTGGCTTTTGATAGATGAAACAGAAATGAATAGGGACAGTGCCCAGGGCATCTACCAGCAGTTACCAACTAAATGGGTTCCATCAGGGACACAGGGATGGAAGGAATCTTCAAGATCACCTAGCCTAACTTTGGCTTTTTTACAGTTGTGGAAACTGAGGCACCCAAAGAGCTTGAGTGATTTGGCACCATTTGGAGCAACTGAAAGCCAGAACTTGAACAAGGTTTTTTAGATTCCAAATCCAACACTCTTTCCAGGACACCACATGGATATGAGGCCTTCTCTATGAATAGTCACTTCTTCTTGTAACTTTATTTCATCCCAACAGAATGTAAGTTTCTTGAGGGCAGGGACTGTTTAATGTCTATCTTTGCATCCCCAGTATCTAGTGCAGTGCCTGGCACACAGTAGGTGCTCTGTAAATACTTGTTAGATAAAATGGAGTTAAATAACCTCCCAGGTCTTTTTCAGAGAAAAAGTCAAGTCATCAAGTATTGATTAAATGCCAGGCACTGTGGGAGGTGCAGAGGATCACAGAACTTAAGAGTCAGAATGGACATTAGGCATCAATTGGTCCAGTTTCTAACACATTAGGAGGGGCATCTGACCCTAGCAGCTCTGATAAATGGTCAGCTCCTTACTGCTAGGAAACCTCCAATATCAAAGAGCCTCCTCTTCCTGAGACAAGGCATTCAAAGGTAATGTTCTTTAGGGGGTTGGTTTTTTTGCCAACTGTTTAGTGGAATTTTGTGTATCCCTATCATTGGACCTATTTTAGTTTTCTAGGGGAACACAGGACAAGTCTTATACCTCCTAGATGGCATCTTTTAAATTGCTGGAGACAGCTATCATTCCATCTTTTCTCCAAGGTTAAACCATTCAGGCTTTTCCATCATTTCTCATGGTACCATATCAAATGAGGTAATATTTGTAAAGCCCTCAGCACAGTACTTGGTACATAGGAGACACTTAATAAATGCTTGGTATGCCTCTTTCTCTCCCCAGCAGGGTTGCCAGACAACTCCTTATTACTTCTCATCTTTTTCACCCTCCTCTGAGTGGGCTCCAGATTGTCAAGTCTTTAAAATGCATGGGCACCAGCAAAATCCATAGTTTAGATGGGTCTGATGGGTGCAGTGTAATGGAATGAGTCTTTAATGTGATCAGGGCAGCACACTTCCTAATTAATTCAGCCCTCTTCCTAGCCACACACAATCAAGTTAAACCTTTAAATCTTTCTTGTGTGAATGGCTGTCAAATGACATCTCTACCGTCTTGGATACTTGCACATCTGTTTTTTTTGCAGCCCAAAAGGACTTTTCAGCACTGTATTTAATACTGTTTAGATTTCATCTTGTTGGACCCTGTCCTTTAACAAGTTTAAAATCCGTCAAACTCTCACTATCATCTACCCCCACATCTCTCCATCTTATCTACAAATATAGCCCGAGAAATTCTATGCAACATTTTGCTCAAATCTTGCTCAAACATTGCCCATCTAGCACAATTCTTGGGTCAACCAAAGTAGTTACCTGATCAAAAAAATTTTTTAAAGGGAAATGAAGTCAACTTGGCCTTACCTGTCTCTGATGAGTCTATCATGGTTTATAGTGCTGACCTTTATAAATACTCATAATACCGAGTTCTGCAATTCACCGGTTCTAGACTAATGACCTTCCAGTGTATGAACTGAAAGAGCTACAAGTAGGATTGCTTGCTGAGCATCTGTGAGCAATCTCCATAAGATCCCACAGGACTAACTAGGAAGCTGTTGGAGAACAACCCAGTCAGTTCTACTTTCCACAAAAGGCAAGTGGAAGCTGCAGGGGAAGTCCCCTGAGCTTGACTTCCATTCCTAGCAGGGTTCTAGAACACATGATTGTGAGCACTTGGAAAGTGAGTTCACGATTGTGAGCAGTTACAAAGAGGGAAGTCAGGAAGACAAGTTGCAGGCTCTTTCTCAGCTCCCAAGACTTTCCGTCGGGCTCTTGCTGAAACTACCTCTAGGAAATGACAACTCAGAGAATTTAGGGTTCTTGGAAAAAGCGTGGATGCCACAGTCCCCATGTCGACTCCCCCAGATGCTGGAAGGCCATCTGTAGAGAAGCATATATCCTGAGTCAGCCTCCCTGTACGTATTTTTCATGGATTCTGTCAACAGCCCAGGAGAATTGTATGATCTGGGAAAGATACAGTGAAGGTAACATCTGAGGCTTGATACCCTCACTTGGAGGAGGCTCAGCTCTCCATAAGGATCCAGTCAAGTCACAGAAAAGCGAAGAATCTCCAAGGGTGTCAGAAAACAAAAATAATAACCAAGATGGTAGTGCCTCGTATTTCCCCCCAACAAATTCATTTTTCCTATAGAGTGTGTTTCAAATTACCTCTAATCAGGAAAGAGGGTCTTATCACAGAAACCAAAACATATTACAGAAATCGCCGAGTCACAGAGCTCAAAGGAACCTTACAAGGCACCTACCCCAAACCCCCCATTTTTATAAATAAGGAAACTGAGCCCAGAGGACTGATGACCTGTGCTAGTATGCATGGTTAGGGAGGGTTGAACCCTGGTCCATGGACCCCAAAGTCAAAGCTCTTTCTACTACACTACAAATGAGACCTTAGAACGATTCTTTGAGAGCAAGGATTGTTTCATTTTCTGTTTTTCTTTTCTCCACCCTTAGTTCCATGCCTGGCACATGGCAGGTGCTTAAGAAATGCTTATTTAATTAAGCTGAATTGCTGCCTACCTCTGCCAGAATATGGATAAGATTATTGCTAATGTGACTGTCCAACCTTTCTGGCCCCACTGAAGCATTCTGCTACAAGGCAGCTCACTCCCCCACAATGGATGCTCCCTTGCTCTCAAAGGAAGATTTTGCCCTCAGGTTTCTGCGCTTGCGTCATCGGTGGAGCACTGTGCTGGAGCCATGACGTGCTCATGAGATAGAGATGGGAATCATCGGCCCTCGGAGCTGGACAGCAGCTCACAAGCCGCCAGTGCAGAGCACAGCAGGAGCCAGAACCCTCTGGGGAAAAGACTTGGAGGCATTTGATCAATATTCACTTGAAGTCCCAGACAAGATTAGCACACGATGGCAAGGAGTGTAATCAACACCACCGGAGGGAATGTCCAGGACAGCAAGCGAATGACACCACCGAAACATTCCAGGGAAACTGGAGCAATTGATGCTTCTGCGTCTCTAACGAGCCTGTGGCCCGATGCTTGGATAACCTTTACTGGTTCATGAGAAATTACGCGTGTAACCTCAGCCTCTTGGCTTCCCTGGATTCCCTCAAAAGGCATGGCGTCCCATCATCTTCAAGGAGCCCGACCTTCCCCCCCGACCACACTCCCTACTGCCTCCCCTCTGAGATGCTCTTTCACTTACACAGACTGTGTCTCCTATGGGTGGGTTCTTCCCGCATTATCTTCCCAATGATAACGTAAGCAGAACCATATTTTTGCCTTTCTTTACATCCCCAGTACTTGGCACGATGTCTAGCACTAAATGTTTCATGAATGATTGTCAACCCGCCAACTCCTTGATGACAAGACTGAGCTCAAAAGTATGTTGCCACCGTTCACATAGATGAAGATTCTCTTCCCAATTCTGGGCTTAAAATCACAAAGTCATATTGTTTTCCACCTGTGATACCTATTTACTAAAATGTTTTCCCCTAGTGATAATAATAATCATCAATATGTCTAAATAATAATAGTATTTTTTTTATTTTACCATCTACAGGGCTGCAGTGGTAGAGAGACTTCAGGGCTAGTTCACTGAACAAAGATATGTCTTCTAACATCACTCTTGCCGCTTCAATGTTAACTGGATTGTTTAATGTTGGATTAGAAAGCATAACCTGGAGGAAGACAAACAGGCAGATAGAAAATTTTATAAGTAACCTTCCCCCCCTCCTCCTCAGTGCATTAATACATCATCTACGAGGGCAGGGAGAGGGAGTCGACTGGAAATGAACAGCCATTTAATCTGATAAATCCATGAACCAAATATTGAAAACAAAACAAGTTCTTCTCCTACCACGTTCTGTAAAATTAATGTGGATTATTTGGGAAATGAATTGAATTGAGCTGGGCCACAGACATCACAGAATCATTTTAGACTTGGTGGCCATCTAATGTAACCCATACTTGACCAAGAATCTCTTCTACCACCTACCTGTCAAGTAGCCATCCAATCTTCGGTAAGGACAGCCCACTGTTTCCCAAGGCAGCCCATCTCACTTTGGGACAGCTTGAATTATTAGGAAATTGTTTGGTTTTCTGATATCAATGAACCTCAAGCTTAAAGTGGTCTCTTTGTCCTTTCTACCCATTATTTCTGGTTCTGCCCCCTGGGGCCAACTGCAAAAAAAGTTAATCCTCTTCTACGATGAACCACATTTTCTTCCTAAGCTGGAATGTTTTGCCAGATTTTATATTTAACTTGTCTGTATTATATGTGAGGGTACAACTATGTTAAGACAAAATTGATAGAACTTCATTATTCAAATGAAAGTTTTAAATTGACAAGATGAAGCATTGTTCTAACCACAGTGTGATTCTATGGATATTAATATACTTAGCCTCCCTGACCTCAGTTTTCACATCTATAAAATGAGGGAGTTGCGTCTGATGACTTCTCGGGTTCATTTTGGTCCTAGATTTGAGAGTTTGTGACTTTGTGAACAATTATTCTATTTGCTTCATCTTCTTTCCATTCCACAACTGGATTTTGCCAAGACTTAAAAAATGTCTTTTGTGTGCCAGCCACACATTGTGATAGACTGTTAAGTTCAAAGACAAAACAGTGTTCTGACCCTCAAGGGGCTTATGTGCTATGGCCTGTTAAGGGTATCTTAAATCCCCTTCCAAAGGCTGTTTGATTGATTCTGTTGCAGAGCTTTTGGACAAATCGTATGAATTTCTGGCAGCTTTAACAGAACTCATCAGTTCGATGAGGCCATGGGGCTGTTTTTTCCATCATAAAGAAAATGGTCCTCGGCTGCCCCAAAGGCAAATATTTATTCTAAAAATCAGAACTGTATATGGCATGCATTTTAACATGCAAAAGTGTACAGAGAAAATGTGGCCATGGTGGAAGCTATTGAAAGAACTGTAGTGTAGACAGGGGCTCCATTAACCCCTGACAGGAGCTATATAAATAATGACAATATTTCTCTGATTAAAATCAGCATCTGGTTTTCCAAAAGCAAGGGGAAAAATTATCTTGTAGGAGCTCTACTGCTGTCACTAGTGTGTTCTTGTTTGGAAAATGGATTCAGATGCATTTCCAATAAGCACCTCATCATTGCTTAAATAAAAGTTTTGAATAGATAGGAACATATCTTTCAAAGTGGGTGGGAAATGGACGAAACTTGTCTCCAAGATTACGGTTTGGGGTATTTGTCCTTTTAAAAAGAAGCAGGGGAGGGAGAGAGAGTAGCAGCCATCTGACATGGAGAGACACATCTGGTAAAGTTTATTTGGCATTCTTCGAGCCATCCCCTTTTCCGAAGACCCCTAACTGCCCCTTCCCAGTTATAACCTAGACATCAACCATTAAGTAATGATACTTAATGATGAAAAAATAGTAGCAAAAATTCAATATTAGAAGAAGTATTAATTGCAGATGTGTCCTGCTATAATTCCCCATGGCTTCTTGAAAAGACAGGAGTTCCATCTAGAAGTTGACCCTGTATTTCTAGCCAGGAACAAAAAGACAGAATTTTGAGGGAGGGAATATCTGGAAGTGTGGAAGGTAATTACCTGATATATAGAGGTACAATTAAATCAACACACAAGATTTGCCCTAATAGATTTAAGTCTCAGAAATTTATGTGGACTTGGAATCTACACTCTCTGGATGTGGCTTAAGCAAGCTCTTCCTCTAGTATTATATATAAGCAAAGGGGAGTTGGCTCAGCAAAGTGAATAAGCAAGTAACTAAGGGGGAATGGTTAGTCTACTCAGCCAACTTGCTGAAAGTACTTAAAACATATTCAGTGATGCTTGAAGAAAACTTGAAAGTAACAATGAAGATACTGTCAAAGGCTTGTCAGGAAAATGCTCAATGCAGATTTTTTTTTTTTCCAAAGGAAAAATGGATCATAGAGCAAGAGCTGGAAGGGTTTTTAGAGGTCATGTGACCTTGGGCAAATCACTTCACTGCTCTGAAACTCAGTTTCTTCATCTCGGTTTCCTAATGATCCTATGATCTGATCCAACTCCATCACTTCACTGATGAGGAAAGATGATAAAAAAATTGTTTGCTTACTAAGGTGAAAGCGGCTCAGCGGATAGAGTGTCAGACCCGGAGTCAGGAAGACCTGAGTTCAAATCCAGCCTCATATACTTACAGCAGTATGACCCTGGAAAAATCACTTCACCCTGTTGCCTCAGTTTCCTCATCTGTAAAATGAGCTAGAGAAGGAAATGGCAAACCACTCCAGTATCTTTGCCAAGAAAACCCCAAGTGAGGTCACGAAGAGTCCAACGTGACTGAAATAACTAAACAACAACAAAAACTAAGGTGAACAATGGTGGACAATAGTCATAACCGGCATTTAGAGAGGCCTTGAAGGCTTAGATAATGGGATCATAGGATTGGACAGCTCACAGGAGCCTTGGCAAGCATCTAGTAGAACCCCTCTCATTTTACAAATAAAGAAACAAGGGCATCAACATATATTAATCCTATTTGCTAGAGCATTGGCCCTGGGGTCGGGAATCTCTGGTCCAAAAGTGTGCCTCTGACAATTGCTATCTGGATGACCTTGGATCAGTCACTTACCCTATGCCTCATGTTCCTCATTTCTAAAGTAAGATTGTCTGAGATCATAGCTTGTTAGAGGTGGAAGGAATCTCAGAGGTCACCAGGTCCAGCTTCCTCATTTATGTAGGTGCAGAGTCTGAGGATTAGAGTGAGTGAGTGGCTTTCCCGAGGCCACACAACTAGATAATGTCAAAGGTCCCTTGAAATCCTCAATTTATGATCTATGCTTTTTTTCCTTTGCGAAAACTTACTATGTTGATTGTTTTCCTGAAAAGTCTTTAAAATATTTTCATTGGTGTTTTCAAGTTTAACTGATGGTCTAATTATTTAATTCAATAAACATTTATTAAGAACTTATTTTTCCCCAATTGATAAATGGTCAAAGGATATGAACAGGCAGTTCTCAGATGAAGAAATTAAAGCCATCTATAATCATATGAAAAAATGCTCTAAATCACTATTGATTAGAGAAATGCAAATCAAAACAATTCTGAGGTACCACATCACGCCTATCAGATTGGCCAACATGACAAAACAGGAAAATGATAAATGTTGGAGAAGATGTGGGAAAACTGGAACACTAATGCATTGTTGGTGGAGTTGTGAAATAACCCAACCATTTTGGAGAGCAATTTGGAACTATGCCCAAAGAGATATAAAAATGTGCATACCCTTTGACCCAGCAATAGCACTTCTAGGGCTATATCCCAAAGAGATCACACAAATGGGAAAAGAACCCACATGTACAAAAATATTCATAGCAGCTTTTTTGTGGTGGCAAAGAATTGGAAATTGAGAGGATGCCCATCAATTGGGGAATGGCTGAGCAAGTTGTGTTATATGAATGTGATGGAATACTATTGTGTTATAAGAAACGATGAACAAGCTGACTTCAGAAAATCCTAGAAAGACTTGTATGGTCTGATGCTGAATGAAGTGAGCAGAACCAAGAGAATTTTGTATGTAATAACAGCCATGTTGTGTGATGACTAATATTGATAAACTTAACCCTTCCTGGCAATACAAGGATCTAAGACATTTCCAGAGGCCTTGTGATGGAAAATGCTATCCACACCCAAAGAAAGAACTATGGAAGTTGAATTGCTCTTTTTTCCTTTTCTGTTGAGTTTTGTTTCCTCTTTCTGATGGTTCCTCCTATTGGTTTTAATTCTTACAACATCACTAATGTGAAAATGTTTAATATGATTGTAAATGTATAGCCTATATCAGATTGTGCACCATCTTGGGGAGGGTGGTGGGGAGGAAGGGGGAGAAAAAATTTAAACTCAAAAGCATATAGAAGTGATTATTGATTAATCAAAATAAATTAATAAAAAAATTTTTAAAAAGAACTTATTTTGCTCCTGTAAGTGGACTAGGTACTAGAAATTAAAAAAAAGTTTCCTGCCCTCAAGGAGCTTGCCTTCTATTGGATATAGCATATACACAGCTAAGTCCATATCAAATACAAACAAAATAAATACAAAATGATTTTTTTAGGGCAGGGATTAAAAATTGAAGTAACCAACAGAGGCTTCTTCCAGTTCTAGCGATCTATGAGTCTTTCCAGAGGCCCCTACAGCATAGGTAATGATAGTAAGATGCTATCTGTGCTCAGTCAGCAACTTCATCACCATCAATACCCCAACAGCAAATTACCTCCTCCTCCCATTTTGTCCATGTGGACTCAAGGCCCAACTCTGTGGTCTGATCACAGATTTTTTAAATGACTTAAATATCATATTTCTATACTTTAGGTGACTAGTGAAATGAAAATTTCAAAAATTAAAGGAAAAATTATATTAGTCTTTTCTTACCTGAATAGAAAGTAAGATGCTACTTAGTGTATAGTTACTATCCCAATGATCAGGGCTATCTAGAAAATCTATACATGGTCGGCCAGATTTGGGGTCAACTGTTTGAAAAACAAACAAATAAAAGAAAGTGTCAACATTCATTAAAAATGCAATTACTAAATAGCTACTTTGCGCCAGACACACTACTAGATACTAGAGATGCAAATACAAAACACAAAACAATTCCCTCTCTCAAGCAGCTTCCAGGTTGCCCAAAGAGAAACATACTATAGGAGCAAGTAGATGTTCAATATAAGGTATTTAGGGAACTGTTGGGGGATCAGGAAAGGCTCCGGTACAAGGGGGTGCTTGAGCTCCATTCTGAAAGAAGAGAGGGATTCTGTGAGGCAGAGATGAAGAGGAAAGGAGTGAGAAATGGGAGACGGGCAAAAGCCATTTTGGCTGGGCCATCGAATGGAGGCAAGGGAGAAATGCATCCTGAGACCGTAAAGGTAGGATGGGACCAGGTGGGGAAGGGGTGTAAAAGCTGAGCAGAGGGTGAACCCAGAGGTAAGAAGGAGCCCCTCAAAGTAATTCGTGGAGGAAGGGAGCTGCTACCTGGTGGGATGGTCACCTAACGACAATCACTTTGCAGCTGAGTAGAAAGTAGGTTGGAATGAAAATTGAAATGGAAAGTAAATTGAAATTATGCAATAAGAAGACCAAATCGGTGGCTGTGGAGCAATGCCAAGGGCGGAGGGTTTGCTTTGATACTCACCCGTCTGTGTCTTACCATTGGGGTGGAAGGGAATAGTGCTAAACGCCACAACCGGAGGGACAACGTTGTAATCCACCGAAAACTTCATTAACAAAGGGAACGTAAATCCTGGGATACAGAAACAAAAGTTACACCATCCAGATCCGCTGAGTTAGAAATGTTGCTTCTCCAGCAAAAGAGTGGAGTGACTCTGTCCTGCCACTGCTCCCTTTGTGGACCTTTCATGAAAAATCGTGCCCAAAATACACAGAAGGAAGGACACGAGGCCCAGAAGGGGGAGGAACAACTGTGTGATTTCATTACAGCGGGGTTCAACTTAGAAAAACAGCACACGACAAAACTTCACAGTTTCTTACTTAATCTTTTTTGTTGTTGTTCTTTATGGTATATTGAAATGCTCATGTATGTTAATTATCAAATTCCTAGTTCAAAAGAAAAAAAATAGAGAGCGTCAGGGCCACTGACTAACGGAAACACTGAACACCAAAAAGGGCCGATGAGCCCCAGCAGTGCCGGGTGTGAGAGACCAAGGAGGACGGTACGAGGGCAGGGCTTCTTCCAGGGGACAACGGGGGGAAAAGGCTCCAGCATACCGGAGAGGCGCCTTCCCCTCGTCCTCCCCCCAAGCTCAAGGTTCACTGCAGTCACTGGGGGAGGCAGAGGAAAGGAAAGAGAAGCTAAGCAAGTTGAGCTCCTGACTCACTATTACGGCAGGATGAATGTGGGGGTGGCCCCAACACAGAAGTGATGAGCAGCGGAGGCATCTGGCTAGCCTATATCATCCTGGGAGGGCTTCTGCTTGTGGTTCTACTGAGCATCCCTGTCATCTGGACCTTGACCAACGTCATCCATGGCCTGGCTACGTATGTCCTTCTGCACACTGTGAAGGGGACCCCTGACCAAGGCAAGGCCCGATGGACTGTGGGCTCCAGTTCACCTCCTCCAGAAAGTTCCCCAGTATTTCATCCATTGTGCTCTACCTCTTGGCCAGCTTCTACATCAGATATGACGCCGCTCACTTTATCATCAATACGACTTCACTACTCAGTGTGCTACTGCCCAAGTTCCCCCAGTTCCACGGCGTCATCTCTTTGGCATCCACAAATACTAAGATCTGGCAATGATCACTTAGGTACAGGCTAGGGAAGGACAAAGAGCAAAGGCCTGCCCTATGCTCCTTCCCTTTAGCTACTGAAGACCTGAGGATCAACTGACCTTTTTTGCCAACTCCAGGGAGATGAATTTGGGGTTAGAGGTAATATGACTCCCCTATACAAGTAAGAGCAGGTTCCTTAGAATCAAGAAATATGGAGAGGGGCTGGACCCACTCTCTTGTCTAGTGCTATAGTTTTTCTTTTCCAACTATCTACATCATTGTCACATATTTCTTCGTAATAGGAGCTATTTTTCAGATGTAAATCTAGGGTCATCAGCAGAGCTTTGTGGGAAGCAAGGGAGGGAGAAAAGACTACATTCTTCCTAATCTTAAATTTAAAATAAACCTCTAATTGTGTTAAAAATGATATGTTTCTTTAAAATAGCTCAAACTATGAAAGAAGATCAACAATTTTATGGGAATTTTGTTCACCAAGATGGCTAAAAAGTGTGCTCTGTCTTAGATGTGATTTACAGTTTTGAGATTTTTTAAAAATGCAGTGAGAGACAAGACGTCTTCAAGATCCAAATTGTGTTCAAATGACGTGAGTGTTCATCAGAAACCTTTTAGAAATTCCTCATGACATCTGAAAATTCTGATGAAAAATCTCTGATAAATGCAATCAGAGAAATACATGACAAGAAGCAGGGGGAGGGCTAGTCATATAGCAAGAGCAATGGATGGCCTTTGGACAGCACTTCTGGTCCATTATTACTCGTGCCTCATCAAGAGGTAGATAGAAGTCATCCGCCATGTTGGGGGGACACCTATGGGTGAAGCAATCACGCAGGATAGTAAGGCATGGCTCCATGTTGACTTTCATTCTTGAAGGAAACATCTGGAGGGATGACATAATAGATGCTTTGAAGTATTATGGTGTTTTCTAATTTTACAGCATGCTATTTTTTATTAGGTAGTGGGGCCTCTTGAACTCATTTCTACTTCACTTGGGATTTGGGGTGACTTGTGTATATGCTGTTCCGCATACATAGAAGTGTAGCCACATAGTCTGCTGCATGAGGGCAGGGCCTTGGTCTTACCTCAACGTTGCTCCCTTGGGTGCCCAGTGAGGTGTGCTGCTCACAACAGACGCTTAATAAAATGTGTCCCATTAACATATTATTGGCAGAATTGTGGAGTCATCTAATTGTTATCAACTTGGAGTTATGTAAGAAAATCGGTTAGATTGTCCACACTAGCAGACCTATCAAATGCTACCACTAGATCTATACCATGAGGAAGTCAAGGATAGAAAAAGGGCCTATATATACCAAAACATTCATAGCAGAATTCTTTGTGTTAGGAAAGGGGTGAGGGGAAGGGGTGCCTATCAATTGAGGAATGACTGAAAAAGAAAACTATGTCGTATGAATGACACGCAACATTATTGTGCAGAGAAAAATGACAGATATGAGAAATTCAGAGAAACTCAAAGATTTGCATGAACTGATACAGAGCTAAATAATTAGAACCAATATCGACAATGATAATAGAAATGGAAAAGATCACTAAAAAGAAGTTGAATTCTGAGTAATTGCAAAGCCATTGAATGCTCTAGAAGACAGATAACAAAGCACATGTCCCTGCCCCTCCCCCCATCCCAGAAAGGACAGAATGCTGGGTACAGCACCAGATGGAGGCACCATGTCTGAGGTTCTTGCTTAATTTTCCTGTGGGTAGGGAAGCGTTGAAATGATTGTGACATAGAAACCAAAGAGCAATAAAACGTATTTTAAAAATAAAACTTAAAAGGTGTGCTTATTTCTTAATAGGAAACCACAAACCTTCCCAAATTGTATCCTTCAGGCCTTCAATTTCAGCTAGCCATTTGAGTAAATCATTACTTAGTGGAGTCACAGTTATGCCCTTTGATAAGAAAAAAAAAATAAAGCAATCAGAAAAGCAAACTGCAAGTGTTTAAATGTCAAAATGATGAATAATGACTTGCCCTGACTTGTGTCTGATACATGTTTATGCTCAAGATCTCCTGTTTGTGGCAAAATCAACTAGCTAGCAGTGTGACCCTGGGCAAGTCGCTTAGCATTTCTTAGCAATGGTTTCCTCATCTGTAAAATGGGGATAATAATAGCACCGACCTCAAAAGGTTACTGTGGGGATCAAATGAGGTGATAGATGGTAAGAGCTTCATAAAACTTAAGGCACTATATAAATGTTAGTTATTATTATTGTTATCATTATTAATCATCAGTAGTAATAATAGCTAACATTGATACAGAGCTTACATAGGGGCCAACAGCTGTGCTAAGCACTTTTCAAATATTATCTCCTTTGATCTTCACAGTAACTCTTTGAGGTCCGTGCTATTATTATCCCCATTTTAAAGATGAGCAAACTGTGGCAAACAGCGATTAAGTGACTTGACCAGGGTCACATAGGTAGGAGGGATCTGAAGTTGGATTTGAATTCAGGTCTTCCTGACTCCAGTCCAGTACTCTATCTACACAGTCACCTAGCTGCCTATGTAGTATCATTGCTATTGTTACATCTAGAGCTAAAAGGGACCTTAGAGATCATCTAATTCAATGCTCTCATTTTATAGATGAGAAAGCTGAACCCCAAGTAGGGTATGTAACTTGCCCAAGGATGCATAAGTAATACATGGTGGATCCAGGATTCAAACACAGGGCCTGGGATTCCAAGGTCAGCATTCTTTTCCCTGTACTACACTGCATTCTAATCCAGATATTTCAAAATTAGATTATAAGTTTCCTGAGGACAAGGTCTGTTTTGATTTTGTCTTTATATCCTCAGTGCTGGGGCCATTGCAATAGCAATGGATAACAAAGCCAACATTCTCCACCGGTACTCTTTGGATGAATAAGGAGGTTGGTGGGCCACCTACTCTGAATTTGGAAGGACGTGGATAGAAGTCACAAAGGATGGCAGACATGGATGAGTTGTGATCTGCATCTTTGAAGGGAAATCCCAAACTGATGAGAATCTAGGCCCATTAGAGAACTTGAATATCCCCAGAGCCAAACCAACACCATGTACATAGGATAATGGATTCAGAAATGGAAGAGGCCCACGTGGCCTAAGGCCTTTATTACTAGTGAGGAAACTGAGGCCCAGGGAGGTTAATTAACTTGCCAAAGGTCACACAGGTAAAAAGAGGAACTATTAAAAGTAGTTGAATTGAAAAAAAATTATAATCACAGAAATTCAGAATTATGGCCAATGATGACTCAAATCAGAAATGAGGAGATTTTTTTTAAATGCATATGTTTTTTCAAATGCTCGGCAAACTCCTCTTTAAATTGGGGTAAATATACTGCAAGGAGTAAAATGTATTTACCAAGCAAAACACATTTTAAAAACTTTATACTTTTTAAAAAGTTAATTAGATTTTGTACCTTAAGGTTTGCAATGTGAGAATCAGATGAGATAAAAATTATAAAACAATTAGAATACTGCCTGACACATATGGAGCACTACATAAATATTAGCAGCTGCTACTACTATTACTATTAGAGCTACTGCTGTTGCTGCTACTACAACTGCTACTACTACTACTACTACTGTTACTGCTACTGCTGCTGCTGCTACTACTGTTACTGCTGCTGCTGCTACTACTACTACTCCTACTCTTATTACTGTTTACTACTGTTACTGCTACTACTAGTAGTGTTGCTGCTGCTGCTGCTACTACTACTACTACCACTACCACTACCACTACTACTACTACTACTACTACTACTACTGTTGCTGCTACTGCTGCTGCT